CAGTCAGTTCTTAAACAAAGAGATTTGCCCCAAAGGCAGTTTATGGCCTAGAATCCCAGTCTTGATTGTATTTCAGGTGTCAGAGTTTGTGACTGTTCACGGATGTGAAGAGGGCACGTGCTGAGCTTTAGGACACTCCTGAGTGTTCAGCATTCCTGGATGCCTGGGCAGGTAGACATCTGCTACACATCTTGGACTTGATCCTGCGGTCGTTGCTCACCTGAGAACTGTCTTTAATACACCATTGAAACAAACCTTGAAGGAGCTCCAACCTCTGTGGTCGTTAGTAGACAGGAGCTGTTTAGAATTGCCCTTTGCATCAGTCCTTGTGCTTTGTTATCTGACCTTTTTGTCGGTGCTGTGGACTCCGCTTCTTGCTCTCCAACAGAGCCTTTGGGATTTCCCCTTCGATTGTTACTTTAAACTGTGTTGGTGTTCTATTGCTTCTTACCTTTTTTTTCCTCCCTTTTTTGTTTCTAGTTTTCTGTCTGCAGTGAAATCCATGTGTTGTATCCTGGACTCAGGCATTTAGTGGTCTGAAATGAAGTAAACCCCCCATTATATCATTCATGAACGTAAAGCGTTTTCCTCAGCAGTCCTCCACTTCCCTGTGCAACTGAAAACAAAGTCTCTTTTAGTTACGAGATGATTTCAACGTCCTTTGTTAGCCAAACATATTATTTAGTTCAGCTACTTGAAAGAGAATTGATTCCTGTTTCAAGAACATGCATGTGAAGTTTAGGCCTTCAGCTACTTAATGAGAGCCAAGTTATAGACCAGGCTTGTGGATTGTTTTTACTGGAAGCAGCACCAAAGTGAAGTGTAGAAATGTGGCCAGGCACCATTAGAATTGTTAAATAGTTTTGTTGCCAGAAGAACACAATCCAGTATTATATCTAGAGAGAGTTAAAGGTGCTGTAGGCTTTCTATAGAGGGTGTGTTGTTCCAGATGATGATTGAGTATTTCTTACATGTTTCTTCTCTTGTGCTGTGAGATCCTGGGTGTGAAAAGCTGATTCTATTAAAAATGATCCATTGAGCTTTCTTAATTTGATAAATAGAGCGAATGTGCCTGTTAAGGACTCCCTTCCTTTGCATTGAAAGCAGTGCATATAATGCAGCGTAGGGACAGATCCTGTGGGAGACAGGAATTCTGTGTGTTTGAGAGAGGCAATTTCCAACTGACAGAAGCTCCTCTTTGCGCTTTTCTACCCAAGACAAGACAGGACAGGCCAAGAACTGAAGAATTTCAAGACCACTTTTCTTACAGTAATAAATAATACATTTTAAAGCATATTCAGCCTGTATTTACTGGTGGTTTCTCTTAAACTCCCTTGAATGCAGCAGGTTTTGCTTTTTCTGCTGATTTTGAAGTATGAGCTGCTTGTTTTCTAGTTAGGATTTTAGTATTTACTGGTGCTAAGATTAACCACCTTTCAAAGTCTGCTTACAAGAACTCTGAAGGTTTAAGGAGCTGTATAATAGCTAAGTATTATAAGTTCCATTTCTGTTCCAAGATGTTTAGTTAGTGTTGCTGGCATGGCCCACGTGTTTATGCAAGTACTGTTACTCTGAGCAAACCCTCTTCTCCTCTTGCTTTCCTCCTCTCTCTTCCTGCAGTACGTATCATCCTTGCTTTGGCCAGGGACACATCCCCTGGGATCTGGCTGTCAGGGACTGCTTGGGCACAAACACACCTCTGTGCCCAGGCATCGGTGCCGATTTGTACATCAGGTTGAGGAGCCAAGTACAAATGGCTCCTTGGAGCCCCGATAGGCACCTCTATAAACAGTGTTTGTGTTAGAAGCTTCACAGGATCCACGGCTGCTGGATGTCTACCACATAGCTTTATAGCTGCTTGCAAGTTTTGGTGTCCAACTGTTATCATCTAGCCTAACATTCAGTGTGTGACTCTCACGGCAGCTCGACCCACACCATGCTGGTGATGTTGCCGCTTTGTTTAGACTTAATGTAGAATCCTAGAATCATAGAATAGGTAGGGTTGGAAGGGAGCTTAAGATCATCTAGTTCCAACCCCCCTGCCATGGGCAGGGACACCTCCCACTGAACCAGGTCACCCAAGGCCTCGTCCAACCTGGTCTTGAGCACTGCCAGGGATGGAGCATTCACAGCCTCCCTGGGCAACCTATAATATGGTGCAGTTAAACCAGTTAGATCCTGATTATTAATGATAAAAGATAGAGGATGCTTTCCAGGGGGGTATTCTGGGCACACTTAGCTGTTGGTTGCAAGAATATTCATTGAAAGAATGAAAATCAGTTGAACTTGAGCAGTTATAGGGACTTTGGGGATTTTAGGCTGGTAAATTGATTCCTTTATAGAAGAGGAAAAAGTCCTTTAGGAGCAGCAGTATTGTAAATGTTATGTGTAAAAAACACTAATAGTGGTCAGCAGGTGGTTTGGATGTGGATGTTGTGACCATGGGCAGAAGTGGTGGTGCTTGGGGATAGCAGCCACTGCTCTCATGTGGTACCACCATCAAGTCTATTACTACAGCTTTACTAAACCTGATGTGATAGGAAGTGGTGAGCGCTTGTGTTGTTGGCCAGCCCAAGGCAGTAGCATGGTAAGGATAACCTGGGAGGGTAAAAAGTTGTACTAGAGCAGAGCGTGGGTCAGCGTGATGGCTTCTCCGTTGGTGTATGCCACGGTGGTGGTAGGTGCTGGTGTGGGCAGAAGGTTGATATAGCTGGGCCAGGGGTGTGGAGGCCGGGTGCTCCGGGTATCTGAGGCAGCAGGAGGTCAGGAATGGGAATGAGCGGCGGCTGTTTGTTTCTGCTGTGCTCAGGGAAACAGCCCTCTGCTTACATTCCGTGCAAGTTAACAGGGTCGCACCAGGGAATATACCTGACTTGGATGGCCCATTTCTCCTCCCGGAGTAAACACTCCTTCCTGGCCCAGATACTGGGTAGCTGTACACCAAAGGGACCAGCTCCATTCCGTGCTGTTGGTACAGACCGTTCGGTGGCACACTGCGGAACCTGGACAGGAACAGTGAGTAAAGTGTTCTTGTTGCTTTCCCTGATGGTTCTGTCTCTGAGCTGTGTGGTAGCATTCATTCTTTTCCAGCAGCCTCAAGTGTTGAGAGAGGTTGAAGGTAAAGTTTAGAGAAGTGCCTGAGTTCAAAAGCTGGCTTAGTAATCATGGAAATATGATGAAGACCCTCAGTCGAATGCCCACAGGTATTTACATGTCTGAGTGATTGGAAGGAATCTACATTTGCTCAAGAGCTGGCACAGTGTGTTTTGGTTTTGTTGATCGTCACAAACACTTCATGTGAAAAATGCTTTCAGTGAAGTACAACAGAACCCAGTTGCAGAGGTAAAGGTCTGTGCCCTGCCATGGGGGGTATGAGAGCACAAGAGCAGTCGCCTTCCTGCAAGCCTTGAAGCAGGTTTTCATTTTAAATCTTCTGTATGCTGTCATCGCTTTTTACATGAGACCTCATCGTTATGCACAGAGATGTGTTCAGTGCAGGCTGTTTTCCCTCTCAATTCAAGTGTCAAACAGTTACTTGGAAATCCTTTGGAGTCATCTGATTCACAGATGACTTTGGAAAGAGTGAAAGAATATTTCCTGCTACTTAATGCTATGAAACTTTCAGAGTTGCACTTGTAACATAATATAGGAAATACAAAAGGTCGGTGTGTCCCCTTTCTGTGAAGTGGGACAGAAATAACTTCTTTGCAGTGTTGAGTGCCACAATAGAGCTGAGCTGTACAAACCTGTGCAGAAGGTGTCTCCTCAGCCTCTCATGACTGAGATGAAGTACCCTCTAATTCTTGTTAGAGAGATGTGCACAGTCAAGTCTCCTGCTGGCCTTGAATCTTTGAATTGTGCCTGGCCTGTTTGGCTCTTCAGAAGCCACATCCTCATCACATCCCATGAGAGGATGTCTGGGAGCTGGAGAACTGCTCCCATATTTTATTAATGCAGTATTTGACAGCTGTTAAGTACTGAAACTAGAGATTGGTGCCCGCTTGACTAAAAGGTATATACCTGATACCGGTCACGGGGAGCCCAATTAACCTTTAGGCTATATCTATTGTATTAGCAAACTGACATGTAGGCTGGGCAATTGGAAAGGGGCTGCAGTTAAGCTTTCCCACAAAGCCGGTTGATTATTTTGCTTACGCAAATGGCCTTTTGCTGTTGTGTGTGGGATTTATCCAACTAAACCGATGCAGGTTGCTACTTGTGGTTTCTTCTTGGGGAGGATTAATGTTCACCTCTGCATTCTCACCGCTGAACTAAATTGTAGACGTGTGCATACACCTTGCTCTTGGTGAGGAGTAGCTGTTGCAAACCGGTGCACACTTCTTACACTTGCTCCTATACCAGCCCTCCCACACTCCTGCTCTCTTCCCATTAATGAGTAGGAGTAAATAATGCTCTTGGGATGGATTCCTCATTGAGCATCTGTGCAGTAACTGATAGAAGATACTTTCCAGGGGGTATTCAAGACACCGTTCTCTACCTGCTAGTTGAAAGAATATTCATTGAAAGAGCAAAATGTGTTCAAGTGAGCTTGAGCCCTTCCAGGAAACCGAAGCAGCTGTTGTATCTCATGACAGCATTGCCTGCCCGCAGTGAACTGCATGATGTGGTGCTGCCGGTATTTGTTGTCTGTGTGGTGTTTTAGAGACGTACATAAGAGTCGTTGGGGGGGTTTCTATTGAATGAGCTGTGATGTTCTTTATCTTTATCAGAAGACACTCAAGGGGTGACCCTGTTGTGCTTATGTGACTTTATAGAAAGAAAAGTAAATGAATCAAACTCAGCCAGTTTTTGATTTGACTGCTGCAATAGTATAAGCAGCTCTAAACCAACTGTTTGATAGGGTTTCTGTGGTGAAATCTTTAGTTTATTGTGAAAGTGTTTTGTTTGGTTTGTTTTTTTTTTTTTATGAAGATGGATTTATCCACTTCTGTGGTCTATTGAGTTATTTCTCTGATGTTACTTGTGCTTTTCTCTTTCAGGAAATCCATGACTTATTTAAAGATTATGAAATCAAGTATTGTTACGTGGACAGAACTAAAAGAACAGGTAAGAATTTACCGTCTTCCAGTGTCATTCGTTTGAGCTCTGTGGTGAAACTAGTGAGGAGCATCATCTGCCATGTATGGAACCATTGACTTCTGTGCCATCGCATAGCTTGATTGTCCCTCAGTGCCTTTTTTGGCTGCATAGTTTGTCAGCTTCTACGGAAACCTGTGGGAACTTGGAAACTCCACTGATGTCAGCCCGAAGTAGGTAGGGCCACTGTGGTGTATCCCAGGGTATTCTTTAGTGAGCATCTCTTTGGGACGAAGCTAACCTCAGCTGTCTGGTTTCCTTGATGTACTGGTCCCGGGCCTCCCTTAGAGCAAAGCGCATGTGCCTGTGACTTGATCAGAGGAAAAGGCACCTAGCTGCTGATGCGTTTGTGGCAGGTAATACAAGCCCCAAGCCATTATTTCCTTCTTTGAAGGACATGTCCTCCATTAATTCCTGAATTGTTGAAGTCTGAGCCTCTATTTACAAGTGAAGTCTCTAAATAGGGGATTCGTGGAGTTTAGTGCTTGTGAGGTACGGAAATGGACAAATGTTTCTCTGCAGGTTCCTGTCCTTGCAGGTCAGCAGAGGTCCCACAGCCTGGGCTATGTCCTGAGGCAGCCTTGGTTTTCAGGACGAAATCTTAGTGCAGGAGCTGTGATAGATGGATCCCAGGCTTCTGTGAGGATAAGGGTGTTTCTTGACACCTACCTCTGAGGAGCAAAATTTGTGCTTTACTGTCCCATTATCCTGCAAATTGGATTTCTGCCTCTGGAATAAGGCCAATTTGTATGGGGGTACTATAGTCTCTAACAATAGACTGAACATTTGGGTTCAGCATGAAAGGAAACACTTGAAAAGACTTGGAAAGAGTGAGGGCAGGATGAAGTCATTTAATGTAGATGCTCTCATATATAACTAGTTTTTTTACTGTGTTTGTTTGGGTTGGTTTTCAAGTGTATATGTACGTGTGTGTGTATATGTGTAGTTCCTTGCCTATTCATGTGATGTTTTGTATGTTTTCCTGCATGACTGTGACAGCAATACACTGCAGGTGCTTCATTTTGTCTTGGCTTCTTAGTTGGGTAATTAAATTACTTTATCTCCGAGTTCATGAAGGCCATAGAACTATCTTCAGAGGCCCTGTTGTCTCAGAATCACCATGGCTGTCCAGTCATAGCATCACAGAATAGTTAGGGTTGAAAGGACCTTAAGATGGTCCAGTTCCAACCCCCCTGCTATGGGCAGGGATGCCTCAACAAATTCTCAAGCCTCTCAGCTCTTCCTGCTCGTGTTCTTTATCTTAGAGACTATTTGTGGTGTTAGTTTTGCTGTGCAAGAAGCAAAGGTTCTGCTCATGGTTTTGACCGTGTCTGGGGGTGTTGTGTTTGTATTCAGTCTGTCTTGGCCAACAGACACAGCGGAACAGTCATCCATCCAAAGATGGACCTAGAGATTGTAGTGTGGACTGTTGGCGTAAGGAATTCCGTTTGTGTTGAGGTTTATATTTGTGTGTTTTGGGTTTTGTTTTGTTTGGGTTTGGGGTTCTTTTAGCTAGGTTTGGTGCCTTTTTAGTTTAATAGGTGTATTTGGAACTTTGTGGGGTCTGTAGAATTCAGGGTTCCAATTAGAACTTCTGAATTGTCCCGAGGTTTCACTTATTCCACAAACTAATGTAAGATAAGGGATCAGCTTGGGGAAGTAGCTCTGCATGACCTCAAACACTGGGGAAAAGACCCAATGAAGACTTGGTCTTCTATCTGTAACTCTTACGTAACTATACTTAGAATACCGAAGAGTATCCTGTTAGAGAAGTAGGTGATGCTGCGTGAAGATAATGGAGAGCAAACCCATGTAAATCAGAAGTGCCATTTTATGGTATTTGAGAAGCATGTTGCCAGTTTGCACACCATGTCTTCTTGGTGTGAGCGCTGATGCACGTCTTTGGGCAGGAGAGATTGTAAAGCGCTCTGGGAAGGCATCGACCACGCTGCGGGAATCATCTGGCTGCCTGCAGGACCTGCATGGGGGAGAGAAACTGGGGTTTTCTTTCGCAAAGTAAGAGTGGTACACTTACTTGGCGTGGCGTAACTGTGGCTTTGGCTCCAGCTGTGGGCAACTTCTTGAAGGTCTGTGGTCATGCACAGGGTAGAGACATGGTGAGTGCTGCGGAGGTCCTTTTCTCCAAGGCTGTGACTAACTGTGAGCTTCCTGCTGGACCTAGATGGGAGACGTGTACAACGGGTGCATTGATACTCCATTGCGTATGAGCACGGGCATCTTAGGTCTGTAGGAAGAGGAGGAGGTTACAGTGTAGGTGTTAGAGATGTCCCTTTCTCCATGAATGCAGATATCATCTGGCAGCATGAGAACCCTGGCTGTGGAAGACTTACATGAGTGGCTGTAGCTCCTACTTTGGAGTAGATGCTAGGACTCGTTAGGTGTGCTACAGGGCACTGAGAGCTGCCTGGCAGACTGTTGGGTTGGCAGTGTGCAGGAGCCCTGGTCTGGTGGCATCCCTGTTCTGGAGCCTGTGTGGAATTGTCCAGTGCAGCTGCAAAGGACAAATGAGGCTGCATTGCTGTGGGCTGCAGCACCATTGCTGTGTCCTTCCCCTTCATGGCCTCTGCTCTCAGCCCTCCCTCTGGAGCCTGAGGTGCTGCCAGTCTGGTCTGGTGCAGCCCTTTTTGTACTGGTTTTGGGCGTACGATGAGCATTCTGTTGCCTGTTCCATGGCCATGAGAAGAGCAGGAGTGGTGCTGGAGGTCCTTTTCTCTGTGGCTGTGGGAACCTTTGTGCTCTGTGTTGGACTTAGATGAGGGACAGGTAGAATGGGTGCTTTGTATCTCCAGTCCCTGGGAGCATCTTCTGTCTGTAGGATGAGGATGAGCTTACAGAAGGAGTGGGTGTTGCAGAAGTCCCTTTCTGCATGGGTGCAGGTGCCGTCTGGGTCCATGAGAGACCTGGATGTGGAAGAGGTACATCAGTGGCTGTAGTTCTTGCTTTGCCTAAGGCTGTGAGTGAGGATGTGTTAGAGATCCTGCTCATGTTGAAGAGCTCCCATTGTCCGTTGCTACAGGCTCTTTGTGGCTGCTCTGTCTTATGTGGCCTGTTTGTGTTGCAGATACCTGAGGAGGTGGGTCTTTGTTTTGGCCATGAGGGTGGGCACCTTCTGGCTGTCTTTGGGATGAGGCCTAGAGTGCAGTAAAGTTGAGTGTTACAGGTGTCCCTTTCTCCTTGGGTGCAGGTATCATCTGGCTGCATAAGAGCCCTGGCTGTGGAAGACTTACATGAGTGGCTGTAGCTCTCGCTTTGCTTTGGGCACCTTCTCCTAGACTGCTGTAGGACGTGTGAGAGATGCTGCAGAGCTTTGTTGTCCATGGCTATGGGCACCTTTTGGCTGCCAGTGTTGCCTGCATGGGGAACAGATGCTTGAGGTGGCAGGACCCTCCTGTGGCCATGAATATTGGCCCCTCTTCCTGTGTGTAGGATGAGGAAGGGGCAGGGATAGGTGGGTGTTTTGTAGCCTCTGAGTCTTTGCTCTCTCGTCTCCTCCTGTGCCAGTGTGGGCAGCTGCAGCTTTCCATAGGGGTCTGTTGTGAAGGTTGTGGCTATGTCCTTTGTGATGTGGTCTGGGTGTGCTGGAATTGACGCTGCCATGCCATCAGGAGTGGTGCTGCCAGCATCTGTTTTGGGAACTTCCAGTGGGAGAGGGATTTAAGTTTTCCCTTGTACATCCTTTTGTGAAGCTCCTTGCAAGCCCAGGTTGGGGTAGATGCTAGGACTCCTTACCTGTGCTACAGAGCACTGAGAGCTGCCTGGCAGACTGTTGGGTTGGGAGAGTGCAGGAGCCCTGGTCTGGTGGCATCCCTGTCCTGGAGCCTGTGTGGAATTGTCCAGTGCAGCTGCACAGGACAAAAGAGGCTGCATTGCTGTAGGCAGCGGTGCCGTTGCTGTGGCCTTCCTCTTCATGGCCTCTGCTCTCAGCCTTCCCTCTGGTGCCTCCGCTCCTGCAGGTCTGGTCTGGTGCAGCCCTTTTTGTACTGGTTTTGGGCGTACGATGAGCATTCTGTTGCCTGTTCCATGGCCATGAGAAGAGCAGGAGTGGTGCTGGAGTTCCCTGTGTCCATGGCTGTGGGAACCTTTGTGCTCCGTGTTGGACTTGGGTGAGGGACAGGGCCAATGGGTGCTTTGTTTCTCCAATCCCTAGGAGCATCTCCTGTCTGTAGGATGAGGATGAGCTTACAGAAGGAGTGGGTGTTGCAGAAGTCCCTTTCTGCATGGGTGCAGGTGCTGTCCGTCTGCGTGTGAGACCTGGATGTGGAAGAGGTACATCAGTAGCTGTAGCTCTCGCTTTGCCGAAATCTGTGAGTGCAGATGTGTTAGAATTCCTGCTCATGTTGGGGAGATCCCTTTGTCTATGCTTACGGGCACCTTGTGCCTGCACTATCTCATGTGGCCTGTGTGGGTTAAAGATATTTTAGAGGTGGGGCTCTCTTTTGGCTATGAGGTTGGGCACCTTCTGGGTGTCTTTGGGATGAGGATAATACTGCAGAAAGGTTGGGTGTTACAGATGTCCCTTTCTCCTTGGGTGCAGGTACCATCCTGCTGCATGAGAGGCCTGGCTGTGGAAGACTTACATGAGTGGCTGCAGCTCTCGCTTTGCTTTGGTCACCTTCTCCTAGACTGCTGTAGGACGTGTGAGAGATGCTGTGGATGCTGCAGAGCTCCATTGTCCATGGCTATGGGCAGCTTCTGGCTGCCAGTGTTGCCTGCATGGGGAACAGATGCTTGAGGTGGCAGGACCCTCCTGTGGCCATGAATATTGGCCCCTCTTCCTGTGTGTAGGATGAGGAAGGGGCAGGGATAGGTGGGTGTTTTGTAGCCTCTGAGTCTTTGCTCTCTCGTCTCCTCCTGTGCCAGTGTGGGCAGCTGCAGCTTTCCATAGGGGTCTGTTGTGAAGGTTGAGGCTATGTCCTTTGTGATGTGGTCTGGGTGTGCTGGAGTTGACG